TATCATGTCACGTACTATATCCCGTACATTTTTTTTATTTCTATATAATTATAAGGTTTGATAAATGACCTTAAAATTGTGCACCTTGTGCATCGCACAAGCTCTGTACTAGTTTATAAGTGTCAAGTGTTTATTTTTTTAAATACAGTTTACACAGAAGTACGTTGTTTTATGTTTAATAATATAGAAGTTACATTTTATTTTATTCCAAAAATATAAATTTTATGTTCTTTAAATCATCCAATTATCCAAACATAAATTATCAATATAAATTATTCCAATACACGGTACCGCGCACTAGTTTGTTAATAACATAAGTTATCGATCAATCAGTACTCATTTGAAAATACATTGTATGCTCATTCCTCCCTCAAATTAGAATATAAAAAGAAAAGATTTACGACAACCATACAATACAATATATAAGGAAAAGATTTACGCTTACGCTGCCATAAAATTATATTCAAATCCAAACCAATATAAAAATATAATAAAGAAATAACAAAACGTAATTTCTAGTTATCAATTAACCCCCTAAACAACACAATCTTCTCGAGTCAAGACCTTTTATATATTCATGAGACCCATATTCGTAATTTACGTGACTAATCTCAAATTCTCAATCACCACATTAATACAGTAAACATGGTATTACTATTACTACTATATATTAACAAAAAAAATTAAGGTTTCGACTTTCAACATAAGAGCTGTTTGAGACACTTTTATAGTCCTATACCTACCCTAACACAAACAAAATCTCCATTAAAATCAAGAAAAACAGGTCGCCTGCGGCAATCAACCCCACCGCCACCATCACCACCACCACCACCACCACCACCACCACCACCGGCCGCCGCCGCCCCTCTATGAAGCTCCTCATCACTTCAACCGACTGTGACCCGAGAACCGAGCTATCCTTCCCCTACCCCTCTCAGCCCACCGTCACCTGGAATAACGTTGTCGAAGCCCTGTCCAACCGAAGCTACTGCTTCGCCACGCGCCGTCTCCCAAGCCTCTCCTCCTCCTCCTCCTCACGGAACCCGAGACCCGCTTTCCTCATCCTCCACGCCTCGAAAAAAGCTGCCTTTTTCTACACCAACAACGAAGGCAATGACTACCAAATCACCTACGACGAGTCTCTCATGGACGGTCTGCCGTCAGACGGGACCCTCGACAGGCTTCCGCGATTCCACCTCTTCGAATCCCTGCCGGAGGATCTCCAGGTATCGGTGGTCGAGCGGCTCGATGCGGTCGGCCTGGCCATGATGCGCTGTGTCAGCCGCCGGTGGAGGCGGTTCATGTGGCGGCGGCGGCCGCCGCCGCCGCCGGAGATTGAGGAATTGGGAGATGGGGTAATCGCGCGCCGGCTGGTTCAGGTCACCTGTTTTGTGATTGTCTCGTATATTATTGTTAAAGACATGTTTGGACGTGGCCATGATGATGATGAGTAGATTAGTTAGTGTGTGTATATACACACACACACACACACAAAATCGGTGCACATTTGATTTGTCGATTCTATATTAAAGTTGGTTCTACGGGTTCGATTCTATAATGACGAGGAGCTTATTAAGGCTAATGTTTGGTAACCAAATAAGTTTGGTTAGCTCCTTGTATTCAAATAAGTTTTGTTTGACACAACGAGTTTTTTAAAAAACTCGAGCTTATTTTATAATTTGGTAGCTTTTCTTTAAATAAGCTCGTTGAAATATTTATTTCAGTGCTAATCTTACCCAAAACTTTTATAATATAAGCTAACTTTTCAGCTATAAGTCATAAGTTATAAGCAATGAACTAGATTATCAGCTAGTTTTACCAAACATAGCCTAAGTTTCTCGGGTTGGCGAATGGAGGGGTGGAGCTTAATGAGCTTTGTCCAGTTGTCCTAGAATTATATAACCACATTGCTTAAAGGTTGTATCCTAACAAAAGAACAATGCATGCATATGTGATTAGATGAGATGAGACAACAAACCAAACAATAAACAGGAATACAAACAGGCAACAAATCATCTGTACAGCTCTCCATATTCTTACTTTCATCCCCATCTCATGTTTAACATCAGCAGAGTATGTATATTGGACATGAATGTTTTATATCCAAAGCAACTCTGGGAAAAAAAATTGTCACTAAAACACACTACATTTCCCGAAATTGATAACCTACCCACCGTGGATAAATTAAGATGTATCTTTCAAATATATACACACTTTGTGTGGTATGCTAGTAAGATGATAGATTTAAAACATACTAAAACAACCCATTTTTCGCGGAAAAAAATAAATAAATAAAACCACAAACATATTTACCTAAGTCTCGGCAAGCAGCTGTGGAGCAAGCGAAGCAGGATCGAGCTCCCAACAATCCTTAGGAAGTCCTGAAGCCTCTTCACCCGACAGTTTCTTTGCCGGAATCTGATGCGAAAACAGCT